CAATCTCCCTGGAGGAAAGTTTACTTGTAAACAGCAGGAGATGTGGGTGGCTAAATGACAAATTGCAGAACGTCAAAAGCACCGTTGAGCGTCAGACCGCGAACTCTGGTGACAGTTGTTGGGAATTAATCATCGATATACATTACACGTGGGGGAGGTCTGTATCTCGGTGGACGAGCATCGTGTGATAGTACCCTACCACTGACTTGTGCCAACCACTCTCGCGCCGTTTATTGCAAGTTCTGGATTGTAAATATAGCAAGTTGTGGGTACAAACAATTTTTATTTGTATAAAAGTGTGGGCAAAAGTTTAATAGTTGTTTCGAATGCAAACTCGACAAATCGTGTTAATCGTGTTTCATTAACACCGAAAACTAATTAAACGTTTTTGAATATTTTGTTAACTCTTAAATAACTTTCTTTGTCGTTCTGGTCTCTGCGGTGAGCTAAAAGGGAAGTAAAGTACCTCGATACTAAGCTAGGCTAGGCTATATGTGAAGTTGACGAAATAGTATATTTCATTACTAGGACCGAAAGTGGAATTTTCCGGAGCGCGCTCAAGTTTTTGTGTGAGGCGAAGCCGAACACAGGGAACCCCAATTTGACATGCGAGGTGAAGCCGAGTATGTGAGAGCTATTTTCACGTACGAGGCGAAGCCGAGGTGCCGAAGTGCCGGATAATAACTTTCGGTACGAGTTATGAACGATACTTTTCATCACGACGCAAAAATACACAAACACAGAATAGCAGACCTCAGTATATTAAAACAATTTGATTTCTCAATTAATTTGATTGAACATCAAAATAAAATAAAATCTTCTAAAAAGAAACCTACGTATATTTCTCAATAAATTTTGTTTAAACATCAAAATAAAAGAATAACACAACTTTTAAAATACATACAGCTGATTAAAATCATTAAATTAAACCGTAACAAAACACTGGCACGCGTAGTGAATAAATGGAGAACTAATTGAGAGCGAGCGAAAGTAAACTTAGAGCGAGGGAAAATCAGCTGATCGATTTTCCCTCGCCCTAAATTAGAGCTTGGGAAACGGCTACTTTCATTGATGTCAGCTGTTATCGAAAATAGTTACTTTCGTTAAGGAGTGATGAAAAAACAATTAATTACGTAGATTTCTACAGAAAATGGTGTACACTTTTAACATGTTTACAAGACAAAAATATTTTTATCCCTCGCATGATGACTGATGTGACCAATAGTCTCATTATGTGTTCAATTTATCCTTACTAATTTAATCGTTGTATCTAAGAATAGGCTACATATTTTGTGCTTGCTTACTGTTTATCATAAACCCTGTTCAACACTCAATTAACCACTGAGGATTCGCACAGACTATTGCTCATGCCGGGCATTGTATCAGGTACCACAAAGCCCCAAAATGTACCTTTTTGGCTAAAGAGTTAAATTTTACATTAAAAAGAAAAATACTTCTAGCATGAATGCTCACATATTTATGTACCCATCCTGTACAGTTTGTGACAAACTAAAAGATCCAAATCTTATAAAGCGCAAAGTTATGTTTAGTGATAAGTTTGACAAATGAGGAGAGGTCGAGACATTTGTCCTGAGCTTCAGGAAATGTCTCGATCTGTCAGGCTCTGACTCTAGGCCGCTCCTGGTCCTGATATATCCTCTGATGTATCAGCAAACAAATTATGCGTTTTGGGTTATACTCTTAAAAGTTCAGGAAGTTAACTTCAGTGGTGATAAACTGTAAAACGTTGTTTAAACCCCTGATTTGATGAAAATCAAGTGGTTACACTGAAGCAGGTAGCCTACTCCGTATTTTATGTGGTGACTAAAATATACAATTAATTATTTTATACCCTCTTTTCCACTATTAAATTATCAGGCATCGATTGAAAGTTCTAAAACAAACAAACATATTTTTAATGCTATTTTAATAAGACATAGTGAGTTTGATAGTCAGTGGTTTATTTTAGCTTATTTTTTATTTCCAGCATTTTATATCTATATAAATAAAATTAGAGTTTCAGTACTAATATAAGAGTAAGCATAATAAAACACGGAATATAGCCTGCCGACAAACAATTTCCTTTTGACATTAAAAATCAGCTGCATTTTTGGTAGCCTCGCAATGACTAATAAAAGTATTTTTCCTACAGTCACCCGACAAAGTTGGCTTCCTTGTACTCTTTATAGTACAGAAAGCTGGTAATTGCTGTTTATTATACTTTTTATACTTTGGTACGGTTTATACTTTGGCGCACATCAGGATTCCAACGAAACAACACAAAACAGCGTGGTTCTATTATGCACGTCCTCTGGTACGCTTGGAAATAGGCTGGCAACACTTAAAGAAAAATAATACTATGAGCAGTTAACTATTGGTAGTATAGTAACTAATGGCTATGGGACTATTATAACTACGATTTAACCTGTCATTTCGTGTTTATAGTTTATATTCTCTTTTCGGTACTTCTGAACTTTCTGGACTTTTCTTTTCGTTTTTAAAACATTCCTACGATCTTACTAAACAAGAAAATACCTTAAAAGCATTTTTTTAGGCGTGGAAACCACTGCAAATTAGAAAAAACTTGCGGAAAAAACGTGTTGTATAGTGTTTGAAAGACTAATTATTTATATGCTTTATAGTGACTGTAGGAAAAATATAATGTGTAACACGAGTGCAAAAGGCCTTTGCTGCACTCGAGATCATTCCGAAATTGCTTTTCCGTAAACATTGCTCTCGTGTGCAGCAAAGTGCCACTTTGCCCACTAGTTACACAAATAACTATTTCCGACGTTGTAGTTAGGTGTTCTCAATAATATGGTATCACTAATTTCCAGAGATATACTGATAGGTACATGTATTGATTCATTCAGTGATAATTAAAGTTAATGAAAATTGTTGGTGTAAGATAGAGAATGCTATGTTTGTTCTGAATGAAGGGGGCAAAGAATTTCAAGTTTAGGACAAAAACAAGCAAAAACATCTTGTTTGTCCAATGTTAATAAAAACTTAAGTGTCAGTATAAATCGTTTTAAAGTGGAATAAAATAAAGAATCGTAAACTAATGCCGAACAGCGGTTTTATGAGATCCATCGGAGGAAATGAAATTGTGACTTCCGACTTCATCACAATTGTCGTAAACTTGTCTGTTCCTGGAATTTGCAAACAACATGTCTTAAAACTGTAAGTTTAAATTTTTTGGAATATTTGGTAAATATGTGTTTTAGACTCATCTGTGTCTGTAAAGTGGTAATTATGTTTTAACATTTTAAAATCTATTGAACCCTAATTTACTGTTCATCAATAAACTGTTAATATTTTTCTCTATAAATATCATAAACCACAACAGATTGTGTTTGTAGTATTGGAATAATGAGTTGTTGTCAACTCCTTCAATAGGTAAGCCGGGTATGGTTATAGGATCTACCTGGTAACGATATAATAGGGGAGTTTACAAAGTTGATGATGAACTGTATCCATGTTTATCATGTTCAGAAACATCTCCATTCAACTCTTTACTCAAGAGGTTAAAACTTTTAGCCCAGCTCCGCTTGATCTATGGAAAGCTGATGGTTAGAAAGAGCCATCAAAGAGGTTTTTGTAAACATGCAAGTACAGTCAATCGATCTCAACCAATGGCCAAGCAGATCGGAGAGATGAGTGGGAAGGAAGGACACAACAAACGTGGTTGACGTTCTCAATTTCCCTTGTCTTGCTGAAGACTGTGGCTCCTGCGCTCCTCTCTCGTGCAGGTACGAGTTCTGGTTCAATGATGAAAGTTTGGTAAGGGGGTAATATCCCTTGACGAGGATTGAGGAGAGAGGCAATCCTAGAGAAGGAGGAGAGACCTAGAGTGAAAGTATGTATTAAAGAAATTACTACACTACACGAGTGTTCAATATGGGAAAAGAGAACATAAATCAGAACAAACCTAGACAAAAATAACCCTTGGAAAGTATATGAATAACATTAAAAACTGTTTGAACAGTTTGAGGGGAGTGTAGAATAGGGTTAGGAAGTTCTTAGGGGTATGCAGAATTTGAGGTTCAGTAGAAAAATAAAAAGTGGGGTGTAGGGAGGGTTAATTTTGGTCCTTTCTAGTGTTTTGTTGTTGAATGGCTTGAGGAATAGCTGGAGGCTAAGGTCACTGAGTCAAGGGTGGATGTTGTGAAAGGCAGACTGGGCAACGCAGTGCTTCAAGTTCAAAACCTGGCGGACTGTTGTGGAACTGCATGTGGAAGCCATTTTCATTTTAGCAGACGAGACGAGGATCGCATTTGATCAACAATGGAAGCAGCTATGAAGCTTTAAGCACTAGTACACAATGTAATATCTCTTTGTCTTGCTCTGAATAATCTGCTACAACTGAGGGGACAAATTCAACGTCATGATGGTTGTCCCAGTAGGGTAGGTATGCAGGCCAACAACATTAAGGGTTGAACTTGTACGATATAGATGGGAGGGAAAGTGTTCCAGGGCAATTGTCTTAGACAGACGAGGCCACATGAAAACCAGGTCCTCGGGCATCATATACATATGGGTTTGTTTACAACGGTGTATTATGAGTCTGCGTAATTTGGGCGATGAACTGAATGGGAGACAGGGAACGAGGTTGATGAGGCCTGCAGGTGTTGGTGTCGTAAACAGTGACTTCTTGTAGGTTGTTTTTACCTGGAGCCTTGGCAACGTGATGGATTGTGTTTTATTAGATTTACCTTTGTTGTTGCCTGAGTTCTTGAAGGTAAGATGTTTATTTCACCCTAAAAGAAAAATATAACAAGAAAAAGATTGTGTTCATCCCACTTTATGAAACGTCCTAATTATTCCTTTATCATGAAGTCAGATGCTATGAAACTATTAGGACTCTGGGAGAACTCACAGGGGGAAGGTCATACATCACGAAAGAACAAACAATCCAACAGAGAAACCTTGTGTTTGTGTTTTTACACTCTTCTTCTCTGTAAGGTTTACTCATACGGTACTGATATGTTGTGTTCTAGGGAGGAGGGCCAGACTGCTGGTTGTGGGTGCCTGGACACTGGCTCTGGTGCTGTCTGTCCCCATCGGAGTGTTGTACCACGTACGTCCAGTGCAGGGCAGACCTCAGTGTTGGATTGAGTTCAGTGAGCCCTGGCAGTGGCAGTTGTATATGACTCTGGTCGCTACTGCTGTGTTTGTAGCTCCTGCCTTCATCATATCCATCTGCTACGCTCTCATCGTCACGACTATCTGGGCCAAGAGTAAACTGTATACTCATAGTGAGTATCTAAAGTGTTATCATGTTTTTTTCAAGAGGTTGGTGCTCTTTACTTTATATTTGGCAATCCACATGGGCCACAGAGGCCTGTTATGGACCATCAAGGGGTGAGTCGGTACAGTACAAGGGTGAACTGTACTAATAGAAACAAGTGGAATGTACCATGATCCTAACCAATGGCATCGCTGCCTTAGGCCCAAAGTCTGTGGCACGGTTTTCTTTACACTGCCAACCACGTATTGGTCCCCTTAATACCCTGACAGTTCATGGAAATTGTTGATGGTCCATAAAAATAACAAACCTGTTTAATGTGGTGACTTGGTTGATGTAACCAAACCCTGGCCTTCAAACTGTCAACCAAAATTAACTTAGTCTCAGGTTGTATGGTTATACTTTCAATTAAAAAAAAAATCAAACCGTTTAATGCACAATTCAGATGGTATGGTGATGCATATCAGTAGCGATTGGTTTTGATGGAACTCATTATATTTACGGTAACTATGAATAAAATTAGTAACAACTCAAATTTTTCCAGAGCCAACACTGGATGACACAAGGAGAGCAAGTTCTCGAGGAATCATTCCACAAGCAAAAGTGAAGACTGTCAAAATGACTTTTATTATTGTTCTAGGTGAGAAAATAGATTTTTTAAATGACATAGTGATAACATTTATAATTTAGTAACACCAAATCTCCTTTAAAGTAAGATGGAATTAAATGCAGAATGAACTGCTATACCGGTATTCTTTGTTTTGATTCTCAATATTCTCATTAATCTTTGAACATAAACTAGAAGGTATGCTTCCATGGAGAAAAATCCTGTCCTTGGGCTTAACCATAAACAAAAATAATTAAATAATAAATATAGACTATCAGACGTGCTGTGGTTACCATAGGTTCTAGCGCACACCACTGGGAGCGCCATGTAGTTACGTAGCGTGTACGCCGTAACTACATGGCGCTCCCAGCGGTGTGTGCCAGAACCTATGTTAACCGCAGCACAGCTGACGGTCTATATTTAATTCTTTTTGTCTATGGTTTAACTGAATTGTTCAAACTTGGATTGCTTCGACTTGTCCAAAACTTAGCTAGTATTTTGGTCAGTTCAGTCGTCTCCTGAAGACTAAGAAAACACCTCCTGAACTTATTAACTAAGATTACCCATTTTTTAACATGATATGAAATTGTTTCAGTTTTTGTGTTATGTTGGAGTCCCTACATAGTGTTTGACCTGCTGCAAGTATACGGCTACATTCCACGTACACAGAGCAACATCGCGTTGGCAACACTGATCCAGAGTCTGGCTCCGCTAAACAGTGCTGCCAACCCTATAATCTACTGTATGTTCAGTGCGAGCAAAGCCACCAGATAAATATTCAGTCTCAATCTCAACCACTCTAATATTACGGTACGACTCTCAATGACCCGACACTTATGTGACCAGGAGGGTATTCGATTTTAACATTTTGGATAACCTAAAAATAATACTAAATTAAAACCAATAAGTTGAGAAGTCAACATATGAAGCTTTTTGTACTTCTCGACAATTGGAAGTTTTTAAATTAATCAGTTGGTCCATTCTTTAAAAATCAATATTTATTAAATACAACAACTATTTGATTTCACTTATTGACTCTCTCATCAAAAGAGAACAGCTTTATCTCGTAGGCCTGAATAACTTTAAACTCTTTAATTGCCAGAAAATACGTATTGTCATAAAAATACATTGGTACATCAGTAATTACATCAATATTTATACAGTTACAGTTTCCTAGTTTATGGTATTTAAACTATAAATCAAAGTCAATGGCAGTACAGGTTGCAGTCTTAAATTATTTAACATTGTAAAAAAGAATTGTACATTAAAAAGTACATAAGCTTAATTCTAAAACATTTTTTCATGGAGGTCCATGTACAAACCTTCAATATAAATTAAATCGAGCCTATCCGTATTATGCTGATAAAGTCAAGTAATGTATATTAAGTTAAATTGGTATACAACCAAAGCACAGGAGTTTATCAGTACAAATTAATTGTATCTGTAGTCAAGTAAAAAAATGTGGAAATAGCTGCAAAGACAGAGTTTGTCTTCTGTCTGTAAGCAATTGAAATTCCAGTATTGTATTGTAAGATATTAACCGAGGACTTGATCATGGCAGCGTTAGTTTTCCGAGAGTGTCAGATTATCGAGGGTCAGCTGTACACTTACGTATACTATTCTTATAAAGCCAACAGTGGCGCTAACGTTAGGGATTTAAGCACTTGTCTATTATAATGTCCTTTATGTACGGTTACTTGATTTGAAACTTTAGTATATTGTATATGTGATATTTTTTAGACTTCTATTAAGCCATAAGATTTAGACTTGGATTGAAAGTGAAATTTTGTAGTCACTTTGGCTTCATGTTCCTATGTGAATGTCGACCTTCACTCCAGTAATCAATATTCTGATAAAAAAACCAACAAGATAATTCAATTGTTCATTGTTAATATTATGGGTTTCCAGATAGAACAATTTAAAGAAATATAATATTTTTACACTTTTTCTTACAGAGTTAAGGAGAAAGTTTGTAACAGTATATTTTGTATCAGTTGGACATATTACTTACCGATACTGTTATTTACTGAACAAATACAGTTTGGGTTAATGTGAAATGTGAAATGTTTCATTATTAAATGTTCACATTGTAAGGTGTTACAAGAACAAAACCTGATACTTGTGTTTAATAAGAATAATTTAATCAGTTATTTTAATTTCCATCTAAAAAAACACAGAGGTTGAACTAAGGCTAAATACTACAGTATTTATCAGTCGATATTTTACATTACAGCCACTGCCAGAGAAAATATTTTGGAATGTGATTTACACAATAAAATAGACAATATTGTAAATATGTATTTATTACCATGTTGTTTGTATACCGAATAAGCTTAATGTTGTTAAATGTATTTATGATAATTCGTATCACAATATAAAGCAAAATGAAAAAAAAATTTCAACAAAATTTTAATTTTCTTTCCTTTTTCCCTCTTTGCGTTTAGTGGTGAGAATTCAGATCAGGCAAATGCATGGTTTTAATCTGCCTTTAGATTTCCAAGCTTACAAATCTGAGAACTCTCAACCCACACCAGGGATGGTCCAAATATGGTAAACCCTTACCAATTCAGCATAAACGGACTTGAGCAGTGGTGGATTACCTAAAGTAGTTTGTAGTTTACTGTTTTAGCTTGGTTTAGTTCCATTTAGAAACAAATCCACCATTGTTAAGTGAATTTTTGTTTGTGTAGACTAGACTTTAAACCGTTCTTGAGAGGCTTCTGTAATTTGAATAAATAATTAATATATGCCAGACTATATTGAGTAATCAATAAGAAACTCAGAGTAAAGAAAGTGATTCCAATATATCAAACGAAAACCTTCACAGAAGTGAAAAGAATCTAGATCTTCATCCATATTTGATTTCCTAACGAGGGGCAAATCAAAAACATGAACATGTTATGGGCAAATATTTATTATTGCATAAAACTACAATAATTTATCGAAATAACAGATTCCTTGTTAATAAATCGTTGTAATCAGTCCAAATGGAATGTAATAAGAGAGCGCACTAACTAAAATATTTACAAATCATACCTTAAATCTACTGTTTAACTGAAATATACATATTATATAACAATATTCATTATAATAAAGGTTCTATATACAAATTTAATAACAACCGTAGAGGGATTAGTATACAAAACATTCAACCTTAAACATAATAGGACAAACCTCAGTTGTAAAATACAATGTAATACATGATAATAATACATTCTCCAATCAACATCAGATAAAAACTATAAAAGCATTAATTTACATTTCAAGCATAATGTAACAGTTTCAGAATAACAACTTGTGAAATAGAATAAAATAATGAGACTTAACAAATTTATCTAAAACGGGCATAATACCATTGACTTTTGTGAAGTAGACATTCCATCTATATGAACCAGATGTCAAATATTTTTTATATAAAAAAAAACATAGCTAAATGAGCCAGTCACAGATTGCGCTAGAGTCTAAAATTCTATTGTCTACCTTATTTTTTGTTACTGAGTTGGTTGGCGTGACATAACAAATGTTTTAGCTTACAATAAGTCATCCTACCAGTTTGATTTAGTTAAAAATTTACGTGCTTGACAGAAATGAATTACTTTACATCAGCGTAATCGTCAGTGGCTCTATACATCAACTACGACCATTTAGATTTTTTTAACTAGCGACAACTTTAACACAGATGATGGAATGTCTAGTTTCATCAATAGTCAAAGATATTACTTCAATTTAACAGCTGTAATAAATGTGTATATCCGTATGACTTTGTACATAACAAAAGCGGTAACTTACAATGCTTGTACAAGAGATTTGTTTGCTGCAACTAACCTGCAGACTAAGCAAATTTACAGCCATTTTCTAAGGACTTGTCAAAACAAGTACACAGTGAAAGGGATTTTAAACTTATATCCACACAGTTATCCCTTAATAGTATTGGCTCAATGAGTACTTAGGTTTGCTGCTACAAAGAAAACAAAGAATTTCTTGTTTGTGTTAAACTTCTAGTTAAACAAAGAGCATAAGTCAAAGAATAAGTACCAGTAACCTTATACAAACAGTGTATTAGCTAGCAATTAATTAAATCGTATTAAACTAATGGGGGTGAAATGGGAAACAACCTACTCAGTTACTAGAGGCGTAAAATAAAGTGTAGGCCAACTACACTAAATTTTTATAAGTTAATTTGAATAACAGATCGACTCAATTAGGATGGCTAACAGGGAGGATAGTCGTGTGATACAGAAAAGTTCCCCAACTACTCTTTCGCTACTCTGACTCAATACATATATCAAATTAGATCCAACAACATTTTCTAACAAAGCGATGGTGGTGGGGAAAGGGTTCTAATACGCACAATTGGGTACAATTTCAGCAGACTGTAAAGTACAAGCATTAACTATTGGATAATGAAGTTGTATTAATAGTCAAAGGTAAAAGCTAACTTGAGAAGTAGTAAGCCTCAAAAATTGAATAGGAGTTTAACACAAGATTGAACTATTGGTTATTTGGGTAAAACCCCTTTAAAAATGAGTATAAATAAAAAAAATTAATCCAAACCAAAACAGCTTGTCATTTCAAGAGGGAAAACTTGTGGATTTTTGTACGTGTGGCTACAAGTTAAACCATTGTTAATGACTTGTTAAAACTTTACACTAAATCTAACAAAATAAATACAATGCTCTGAATACAGTACAGGTATCACGGAATCACCAGTTGAAAATAAAAAATTAGTAATTCATTAAACAAATTATTTGTCACAGAATTAAAAAAAGGTTTAAAATGAACAACCTATAAATCTATGAAAGGAGTAACGTATTAGTCAGTTAAAACAATAAAGATGAAATAATCAAGTACGACTCAAAATCCACAACCTAGTTGGTTGACAAGCTTTGGATAAACGATGATTTAATAAAACAATAACAGAACAGTACACATATTTACTACAAAACTTTATGTAATTACAAAATAAACATACTAAAAACAGAAAAGGAAGAACAAAGAGATCATGGACAATTTGCTAGTAAAACATAAAAATGATTTTTGCAGATAAACTTTTTACTCAAGCACAACACCGATATCTCAAAAAGCATTAGGCCAAAACTAAGGACACAAATATTTTGATAAAAATGTAAAAAAATGAATCATTTCTTTACAGTTCAGCCATTCAAAGAACCACTTGGCAATCAAACTTAAACTAGGGTTAAGGTTGCAAACTTTAATAACGACTTAATTCTGATCAAAGCACATTTTCTTTAAAATTTATTATTTCGGCCTCAAAGTCAAACTGTGGCTTCCTAACAATCAACAACATATACTCTCAATCAATAACATAATTTCAGTAGTGATAATAATGGACTTAAGTCAACAATATTTGAAGATAATAAAATACATCCAAAAACGGTTTTTCACCACACTATGATGTTTTTAGCTGTTTTACATACATTAATTGGTAGCTGAAAGTTACGTTTTGCTGGCCATGCCAGCTATCATCGTCATTTGCGGACTGAACAGGTTTTAACATCCCTAGGGCCGCAAAATCAGCTGCCCGTTTACTTTCTTCAAACATGAATGCATCTATATGAATAAAATTAGAGTTTTGTCTGTACATTGCTCAGAATCATAAACTTTTAGGTTATTTTTACGTTTTATACATTAGAGAAACCGAAACAAGTCTCATCTAAATTTCTGTCTGTCTTCATGTCTGTTACGACCCAAGAGCCATTTTACGCGGCCTACTCCTGAAAAACGAGAGTACCTATCAAGTTCCAAATCATTTTAATGTATTCACTGGATTGGCGAGATTGTCTTTAGCCATTAAAATATGGCGTCACCACTTTGTAAATAAAATGACGGACGTTTAAAAACCCAATTTTGTGCGATTTTTTATAAAGTTTTCTCCCAATGTTTAGCACATATTCTTCTATGAAATAACGAACAGCTGTTTAAATCAAGATTATTTCTTCTAGCTGTCACTGATATGTTTACATTGAATGTTGTTTACAAATACCGCAACCATTTCCGATCACGTTTTGAAAGCAAATCCAAACCAATTAAGATTAAAAACGTTTTTCCTTACATAACGGATTTAATTAATCGCAAGTGCAATAATATGTAGGGTAACAGTAAATGAAAATAGAGATTATTTGTGTATAAAATTGTTCTTGAGTTTTGATAACCGGGAAATAGACCTTGAATCATTGCTGTATATTGCTGGGAAACTTACATTTTTTAAATGAGCGTTTTCAGTCGAGACTCGGCACACGACCGACGCGCGTCTACTTGTCTATAGTAAAAATAAAAGTAGGCCTACTGTGTATTTATGTTTTATTCGTCATGTGTATAAGTGTACAGTTCGTGTATGTGTTTCAAAAACTCCAAGACGCACCTAATGGGGAAGCTCAAGACCTTTAGGACTGATGATGGTGATTTAATTTCGCCGAAATGCATCTCCTGAATAGGATACATTAGGATCGACCAGCGGACACAGGTAATTTAGCCTTTTATTGATTGTTATACCGATCCGGAACAACAACAAACGACATAAAATGAAGTTATGTATAATAAATAGTTTGGCCAGCATATCTGAAAATATGCAAACCAACTGCTGTTCTTTATATAAGAAGGTTTCAACTGATTACTATTAAGATCCCCGTGCGTAGAACGGGTACACAGCTAGTATTAAATATAGAGTCAGTATCCATAGCATTGCAATAGAATTTTTTTATTGTCTCCGCTGCCTAGCAACTATTTATTATTATATTTGCTGATTTCTCAAATTATTTCTTCACATAACCTTTTTTTAAGTTGTAGTTGTGTTGACTATCAGTGTGCATTATTATTATGGTGAATAGTGGTAATAGGGTATAGTGTGGTGAAAAATTGCGTTTGTACCATGGACCGCAATGGTTTTGCAGCTCTTGATCGAGCCGGCAAAACCACATTTTCGGCCCTAGGTACAAAATATACTATTACTGAAAAAACTTTTAGACCTTCGGATTATAAAAACTACAAGAACATTCTTATCAATAAAATTGTTCTACATAGTAACAGAAAAACATTTAACTATGCAGAACCTATTGCATTATGAGTGCAAGTGAATTAATTTAATGATAAAACTATTCTATAAAATAACAGAAGCACCAACTATTTGTTTGAAGAATATTCGTAGAAAGAATACTACACACAACAGAACTTCAAACACGATAACAACTCTTAATTCTGCTAATATTACTTTCTCTTTAGATCCACATGGAAAGAAAAATACTTACGATAACACTTATACTACACTTATAATAAAATTTACGTTTAATCAAGTCGTGAATCTGATGGACTTTCCAGCATTTCCATCAGAAAGGTGTCGATGGGAGCATCACCAATGAGCTGCAAATAGAAAATAACAGGTGAATCTCACACAAACCCAATATATTCAGGATCATAACAATATAAGAACATGAACTTTTTAACAATAAACAATGAATATCTGAATAAACAAGCAAAAAGGTTGAGTAACCTTAAAAAATGTTAAACATTATTTTATTAACACCCCTAGTTTGAATAATGAATTTTAAAACCCCATCTTACCTAAACCCAAGGCTAAAAGCTCCCTTAAAATGTTCCGATCCATTCCAAACATCTTACATCATACCCTAACTTTACCCCTTGTGTAATCGATAGAAACAAAGTCACTGGGACATTAAAGTACAGTAGAACCCCTCATATCCGACCCTGACAGGACCGGGAAAGGGTGGATATTGGGAGGAGCACAGCAACTTTCATAACAAGTAAAAAAATTATTTATTTTTAACAAAGATTACAACATATAACAATGAATACTATCAGGCGAAGCTCAGGTCAGGTCGAGCCAGATGCATATTCCGCAACCAACGTGAAGGATTTGTGAAGATGCGTTGTTGAAAATGGACTATATTTACCGTGATTGTGTTTGACGATGAGGTTTCCAAGACCACAGAAGATGTTCAAGATCTTGCCATGTCCTTGATCTCGCCGTAACCGTGGAAGGTATTTACAATTTCTCCATTACCGTGAAAGCTGTTTACAGTTTGCTGTTATTGTGGAAGATGTTTGTGATTTTAGCATGAAAGATAGTCATGATTTCACCTTGATTGCAGGCCATGTTCTCAATCTCGATATTAGCAGGGAATATCGATTTTATTGTGGCTGCAGAAGATGTTCACGAAGTCACTGTGACTGCAGAAAATTTATCTTGATTTTAACGTAACCACCCTGTAGGTCTGATAACCCGAGGAGTCAGTTATGAGGGGTTATACTGTGTCATTAAAAGCCAAATAAATTACATGACCATCAATGGTTTCCTAAAACGTTTTAAAAACTTGCACACATAAAAGAAAAGAAATTTACGAAAGGCACTTAAGCATTTATAATAAAGAACATGTGATCACATCACTTAATTGTACAAGATAGAAGAACCAATCATCCAGTCATATAAACACAACCAATTCGTGTTTCTGGCACTTACCTGGTAAAAGAACAAGTGCTCTAGGCACTTAAGGCTGATTGAGCGCAGAGCTGGTAACCTGAGCAGCAGTTTGGCGAATCTACCAGGCTCCTCGGGATGTCGTAGTCTTGTGTACTCCTCCAGTGTAGCGTACACCTTCTCTCTCAGTGCCTCTACCTCAGACTGGGACTTGAGTCCTCTCACACCTGCAATGTCAAGGACCTCAGTTGCACAACTGTTTGATAATGATTTAACCAAATACATTAACATAAACTAAAACTTAACAGCAGTATTGAATCCACTGCGTACTGTTATAGTTTCAAACTATTACAGTTAAATCTCTAAAATCTGGCTAAATCCATTCACAGCAATTTCATGACATTGCTAGTCGGTATAATGGTATAGTATAATCCTGTTGCTTCACTTTGCGAAGAAAAGAAAATTCTGAACATCTTTTGCTATTGCAAAGACATGGAAGATCTTTGATTGGGCAATTACCGCAGACGCTTTCTGCCACCGCAGAAACACGACCAGAATATAGGCTCGGTTGGGTCAATTTTATCACAAGAGCTTGATCACCAGAACTTTCAGGTTAGGTTCGACTCAGAGTAAAGTCTAAATTCACATGGTTCTCAATTAATTGTTCAATAAGTTATCTTGTAAATGCAATTCTTACATATTCAGGTAGTGGGTTAGGTATAATATTTTCATGTTACAAATTACTAAAATCACAGCTCATCAAAAGCTGGCTTAAGGTGTTAACGGCAATGAGCACGATCAACCTCAGGGTAAAACCTTTCTTTTAAAATAGACAGTTAATAGTCCTTCCTAATTTTTCCTCCTTGTAGTCCTCATAGTAATTATTTATATACATTTCCATGTTCCAATCCTCAGGCATCCATACCACTCTTCCATTTACTTATTCCACATACATCTTCAAGACATAAGGAGATTGACACAATTTTCCTGTGGTAAGAGAATAAATATGATGTTTCCATGACAAAGGGTGATTATCACAATTTTGCTTCGAGATCAAGAAGGATGATCTCAATTTTGCTGTAATCAAAGCGGGCGATAATATCTATGCAACCAGGGAAAATGTTAACGATTGCCATGTTCACTGCAAACTCAATATTTTTATGTTATTTCCCCATTTCTATTATTACCAACCATTTCACTAGTCTGGCACTAATTAGTTACACCTAGAGCAACTGATGCTCGAATTTGAGCAATTGCAAAGTAACACAGGCGTTAATTCAAAACAAATAACAGTCATAATTTCCGATTACTTAAAAGAGTCAACTCGAAGATAATGTAATCAATCACTCCACTCCAGTTATCGAAACTGAAAGGGAACGCTCTTGTGTGTATCATGGGTTTACTATAAACAGCTGTAATTAATACAAATTATTCGTGTGTGCAAGTAAACAAAATCTTGTATTCATTAGAATAATTTCTAAAGCACTCTACTTACTGGGATTGAAAAGGATGATAGAGCGAAGACACCCGAGCTCTGTCTTGTCCATGTTCATCTCCCTCATCTTGGCCACTAGCTCAGTGAGTACCCTGTCAAAGATATTGCCTACACCAGCCTGCTGGGCAGAGTTGCGGTGAACTGTCAGACCAGTGGCCAGAACGATGCCGTCCCTCACCTCTACTGAGCGATGTGAGAACGCAGCTATCAACAGTTCGTTCCATCCTACAACAGACATACAGGTTCATCTATTGCAATCTCCTTCAAACCCTGACACTGCCAATCAACACAGCTGATTCTAAGTTTGTTGCTTGAATTAAGTTATGTGACAATCCATAGTTTAAAACTATTTCCTATAGTTGAATTAAGACACCAAAAACAAATGTTCTACAGATACCGCTAGTAGTATAGTAGGATAGTAAAATCATACGTATACAACAGTCAAGGATACTTCAATTTGTTTCAATGTATTGCAGGTATAAAGGAACACCGCTAGAAGTGCCATGGGCAATTGTTAATATACTAAGGCCAGCAGATGTTGCCATCGATCAGCCAAATCCCTGGTACTTTCAAACACACATCTTTTGATGTCAATGGCAGCAAAGACTGTATATGTAGAACAAGTGAATCACTTTGACTTGCTTATTTGTGACATGAGACAATTGTAATAAGATCGCTAGTGTCGCTGGTGATTGCTGCAGCTCTGGAGGCAATTATTACTATCTGCTGAATAATTTATCAATTTAACATTGGGGCATTCGTTTGTAGATTAGAGACAAAAATAGTATACAATCTGTGTTTCAAGTATTTTATGGTAAGAATTTTGTATAAATTCAACTAAGCATAGTTGATACCACAATATACAGTGGACTTTAAATGAATCACATTACCTGACAAATTATTTGTGATTAGAGGGTGCTAGGTTAAGATAGATGTGTAAGGCTTGACTCACCTGTCCTGAGCAGCAGCACTTGGTCGTCCAGAGGCAGGGATGTGAAGTGAGGAATGTGTTTGGCCCACTCTACTAGCTGAAACAGCTGCTTATCTGTGGCGTGGCAAATGTTCTGCAAAGCAGTATGCAACACGTTGTAGGATCAACCGAAACATTAAGTAACACTCCTTAATTCTAGAATAGTAACGTTTGAAGTTGTGTTAACGTGAAATTGGTTACTGAAGTAGACATCCCATCTTTGAATACTGGTGTAGCCAGATTGTCTTGAAAAGAAATAAGCCTCTTAGTGAGTAGGCTATTAACATTTAAATTGAGAAACAATTATAAACAAAGACCATAAGTGAGCAAGTATTTAAGTGGTTGGATTTAAACAATTTTTTAACTTGAAATAGACTAACGATCCAATTTTGAGAGCATGAGAATATGCATCAAATTTAATTCTTACTTCTTACAAATGCTTTAAAATCTTGTTTAGTACACTAAATAACTACACTCTGCGATTTTCTTTACATCGTGTATATTTGTTTTGTTTGGAATCAGAATAATATTCCAAATTGAGAATAGAAACCGTCTTTTGGTATCAGGATTGAGAACATGCGATAACTAAGAGTTACTTGTACTGTACAACTCACGTCAACTTCCAGCTGGACCTGGTTCTTGCACTCCACTCGTTTCTCCGCCTCCAGTATCCTCTCCACAGGCATATCAGTGTGCATGCTGCTGGTCGACTCCACCTCATTCTGGTCTCTCTCCTTGGTCCGTTGTCTCTCCTCCTGACGATCAAGCTTTATGTTAGTTCAACAAACAGACAATAAGTAGAGCATCAGATGCAGGGAAAAGTGTTGGTATCGTGTCTCAACGTCAAGTTGTCTCCTCGTAAAGTTAACTTGACACAGATAAGTAAGGGAACAACTTGACGTTGAGACAACTTGATGCAGACATAAAAAGGGACGATTTGGCCGTAGCGCACCTTTCAAGCTGTCATCTCCACTTTGTACAGCTGCGTCAAGTCGAGACAAGTTGACATTGAGTTGTAAAAGTTACAAATCGAAACGTTAAAAGAACAGTCTTGACGGTGGCATACCTGTTAGGGAGTTTCAAAGGTGACAGCTTGATGGCGACCAAGTGTTTCATAGAAACTATATTTAGTACAACACTAAGCACTATGTGTGCACATCTCACGATTTACTTGTCACTAATATTCCTCTAACTTCCCAGCTAGATGGCACATGACTGGTCGCACCACAATAACGTAATCACTTACTATCAGCTGTCAGGACGAGTCTTTCTGTGTTATAGTGTGCTAAATGTCTTTCAATAAACAGCTGATGTTTATCAAGAGGAATGTTTAGAACTTGTTTAATAAAAACCACAAATTCAATTAGTTTTAATGTTTTTACATTTTAAACAATCCTCCTTTGGATAACAATCCACCCTCAAGGATATCACAGACCCTCTGACAAAAACCCCTGAATAAAATCTAACATTACGAATTTCCTAAAAGTCCTCTATCGTGCAAGGCAAAATTATGCATTTAAGATTTTAGTGGGAAAATTGGAGTACACTTTTGTTTTCTGTAACATCACGTGATAATAAATTTGTTTAGAACACTAAAATAATCCACTTACTAATACAAATACCCCCGCCGCAGCAAACCTGCAGACTAAGCGAATTTCCATTTGATTTACACTAAAATGTCTACTTAAAAATATAACATTTATTCCCGATTTAAATAGAATTAGTTTAACAAGTACTTAGGTTTGCTGCATCAGGGAGGTAAAACTGTTTTTTTTATGTTAATAGTTAGTAAGAAATAAAAACATTTTTCAAATTTGATCAAAATATGTTCATAAACAAGCAAACTACAACAGTTTACTTATTCTCCATAAGAATAACATGGGAATTTTTAATTTACAATTTTTTGGAATTTTCTCCATAACCATTAGGCGCATAATAACGCTTCAATATACTAAATTATTTGTTTTTTAAGCTCTACAAAATGGTTTGGAAAGAAATTGCTAAATTTTATGTTTTTTGGGTCAAAAATGCGAAAAACCTATTTTTACCCCATAAAACCCCCCGTAAACCCCCGTTCCCATGGTCCGATCATGCTGGATCGCGAACTCGTTCGAATAAACGTAGGTTTACACGTTTGTACCAAATTTCATCAAAATCGGATCATTTTTGCTCGAGTTATCGTGCTAACGGACACATATATATATATATATATATATATATATATAAATATATAAATATATAAATATATATATATATATGAATTTGAACGGATGGTGTTTTTGGTCTCTAGGGACCTCGAAACGAAAAAAAAAATCGATCCCGCGTCCAGGTCTTACCATGAGTACTACGGTAATAGCTTATTCCCTATATGGGAAATTCGCTAAAAGAAACATAAAAAAAGAATCCCCACAATTTGTTAACACAAACTCAGTCAAACATCTTATTAGGCCTAACTCTTTGATTTCAAAACCTGGAAAACATATTGTCAGCACCTAAAATTTAACGCCTCTTTGAGTAGTTTTATGACCTTCTGAAGGTTCACAAACGAAATGTCTCTATGAGGCCTATAGTTAACGCAATGATATCTTCAACACATAACCTGTTTCATTGCTTTGACTCTAAGTGCATGTACTGAAGGGACATACATGTTCTTCATAATGAACCTATATATTCACCAAAGATTCATGACTCATTATCAAGATCACATCACTATATTTAGATTATACCGTACCTGAACAGCTTCCCTCTTCATGCCCATGGAGAGACACTTCTGGTAGCGACAGTATTGACATCTGTTTCTTTGTCTCTTGTCTATCAAACAACTCTTCTCCTCCCGACAAGCATAGGTCAGGTCCTTGCGAACTGTCCTCTTGAAGAAGCCCTTGCAGCCTTCACAACTGAGGACATAACACACAGTCAATAACTACATCGGTTACAATGTCTCTAAACGTAAAAAGTTAGCTTACAATTCAGAACCATTCATTCAGTAATTTGTACCCTATATAGCCTATTTTATACCAAAATTCGCTAGTATTGCACAGAAGATTGAGTTTCAAACTCCTTTTAACTGCACCCTGTTAAACCGAAAACACCAAAAAAATTCAAATTAATGGGGGAATTAAATAGACTATGTGAATTGTCCACTGTGGCACAAGTAGTTGGTCCATCTTGGCCAATAGAATGTATTGGTGCAAACGACAACATCAATCTAATAACATGATATAGAAAAATTCAGAAAACAATTGTCAATTAATTATAAAATTAAAATTAAAATATGTGGTGAATACAGTTGTACATTTTCAGATGGCAGCCCCCGTTAACGTGCCATACAAAAAACTGTCGTAGACCTCTTTGAATACGCACAGCCTTTCAATTTCTACCATTGACAGAAAAAATAGTTTATCCAAAACAGCATTGCCTCCTTAATTTCCGTTAGTCGGGGGTTTACTGTAGCAACAAGTATTATATAGCAAAAAAGGACATATTGAGTTTTTTACCCTTTTAACAGTGATCACACAAATGAATTTGGTATGAAATGGAAACTACTAAACTACACCTTCTTCAAGTTTCGCCCTTAGGGATTTACTCAATTAGCTTTCATGACAGCTGATTTCATGGTAAATGAAAAATCAATTATTCACTGGATACTTTATGTCACTGAACCCCGGTGAACATAAGTTCAAAGAAATAAATAGTGGAGGAAAATTATCACAATGTTATATTTCTGAACCTGAACCAGACAATTGATCTGTGGAAGTCTTATCTTTCGGCTGTGGCAACCTGAGATAAACAAAAAAACAACCCACTTTTTACCAACTAGCATTACTAAATTTAATTTTATGAGTTCTCTCTATTGCAACACATTGCAAATAGCATTTGAGAAATCATCATTGGACATTTAAGAAGTTATCAATGTTATCTACAAAGGTGAAGAGTTTGTTACACAATTACATGCACATTTTTGGATGCAACAAGCTATGTTTAACCAGGTGATGCATTACGAGTAGCTAGGTTGACGTGTTAACGTGGTCAAGTGTTGAGCAACCGATATAACCTTGACATTGGCATTGAACAAGACCTTGCCACAGCGTAGTTCCTTCCTCTCCCTTTAACTACAATAGCCTCAACAATATACTCGTGTATTCATTCAAACTTTACCTATGACTTGGCCTAACACTTTCGGGAACAAAATGTTAAAAATTTGATTTGATTAATCTCAACCTTAATGTTTTTTCAGATGATATTTCCAATGAATGTTGTTGTATTTTACAGCAAAACAGTGCATTTTCAATGTTTAGTGCCTGGCTTAAAAAACTACACTTTTAAGTATGGTTATTTTATATTTCATGGCAATGAACATGTTGTTCAAAGGTTTATTGCGGACATTTTCCATCACGAATGTAAAAAAAAAAAAACAATACACAACGTTTCGGGATCTGGAATCTGATCCCGTCTTCAGGTGAAAAAAAACTTAACTAACACATTACAACTAACAATACACAAACGCCCAACCTAAGTTGGAATACACTACCGAGGGTAGTAGTCAAAAAATATGCACTGTATAGCAGTCAAGTCATGATACAACATGCAATTAATAACAAATCACAAAACACTATAATCTATAAAAGGTTTAGGTCCGTCTCATTGGTGGAGTCATAGCGTACGGTGTTGTTAGTGTTCCATTGTGTGAGTTTTTTTGTACGTAAACCTTTTATAGATTATAGTGTTTTGTGATTTGTTATTAATTGCATGTTGTATCATGACTTGACTGCTATACAGTGCATATTTTTTGACTACTACCCTCGGTAGTGTATTCCAACTTAGGTTGGGCGTTTGTGTATTGTTAGTTGTAATGTGTTAGTTAAGTTTTTTTTCACCTGAAGACGGGATCAGATTCCAGATCCCGAAACGTTGTGTATTGTTTTTTTTTTTTTTTTTTTTTTACATTCGTGATGGAAAATGTCCGCAATAAACCTTTGAACAACATTAACTCACCATCACCAACAATGAACTTCAGGCAATGAACATATTTTTAATTTACGGGGCAGCATTTTTTAGTATGAAACAAAGACAGTTTCTTTGGTATTGACCCTCTTATTTATTTTTTCACACCTGACAGTAACCAATTGATTTTCGCTACATGATAAATTGATTTTAAAAACAAATGTTATGGAATGAATTTAATTTAACTTTAGGCCAAAAAGAATTCAGACAGATAAGGTATTATCCACCATTTTATGAACCATACGATTACTTGTGGATATCATTAATCCAAAAAGCAAATTTTAAAGAAGCTACGAATTCCAAAGAATCAAAAGTAATTACCCCAATCCAAATCTACAAAGCATGTTGATTTTGCTCTTAAACTTTACCTAACTTTTAGTAACGTAACAATGGTGTGGTAATTACCTGTAAACCCCATAGTGTTTTCCACTGGCTCTGTCGCCACAGATAGAACACAAGTGTTTGGAGCCTGACAGTGGATGGTTGGGAGGGTAAGGTGAGTTGGCAGCACTGGAGTTGTTGAGAATACTACTCGGACCCATCTGGAAACCTCTGAAAAATACCATCATCAGACAGGTTAGTTGTATGTCACACAGCACAATTCTACTATGAACTTGATTAATTTTGTTTGGTCATCATCACAGTTTTCCTATCGGACCACAATTTCCAAAGTTATTGAATTCAAGGACCCATATATACTTCAAAACTACAAAAATAGTGTTTTCGGCTTCTGGAGACAAACAAATAAAAAAGTAAATTGGACCATGGCCTAGGTGATAACTTTCTTTTTAAGGTAGGCCTAATCACTTCTTCCCAATATGATTAAATCGCTAAACACAAAAAATGTTTAACATATTTCTGAAGGACAGACGTCAGACACATACTTGAAGTAACAATATCAAATGATTTTCTGTAGTATTTCATTATAGAAAAACTTTACTAATCCAGCATCGGGGGTCCGCGGAATTGGCTAACTCTGGAACTAGCTAACCCCATGTTAAACGCCCTATCTTCAAATTTGGTTGATGATAGGAACTCGCTAACTTGTTCGGTTACGGAATTGGCTAACTCCTGAACCCGCTCTAGAGCCAGGTTAGCGAATTCCGTCCTCGTACGGAAGTCGCTAACTCGGTCCCTCGGTGGAACTCGCTAATTCCCAATCAGAAGCCTCGCACGCCATCCAATGGGAGCCAAGCACGAAGATTTATTACATGAATAGGGCCAGTTTGGCAGAGTTTTTGGACGATTACCTAAGGTTAGACATTCCAGAATATTACAATAGAATTTCGCCAAATGGTCTGTACATCTAACAATAGTCTTTTGATTTCAGCTATAATTGCAATAGTGACTATTTTAGAGGGTGTTCAGTAACTCGGCATTTTTGGCATCCATATCCATAATAGAGTTTTATCAAGTTAAAAAAATAATAACAAAATAAACAAATTCCACAGAACGTACACCACCATAACAAGTCATCCAAACCCCCATATTGCATGAATTGGCTATGTTAAAAATAAAAATACTACGCAGCACAAATCATGTAATCCTAAGCAACATAAACCTTAATAGGAAAAGATCAAACCAGTTGTAAGTTGTAAGCGACCAGGATTCTTGTACTTTTGCCAAAGACCTTGGGCAAAATACCTATGGTACATGAGATAGCAATATCATAGGAGGTATTGATCTGATGTGTACATAACCTACATATCCTATCACAACTACTTCTTTGTTTGGTTTGCACAACTGTTATCAACCCACTTTTCATGATTCACATAAACATTGAACAATATAGGAATTTAAAAACATTTTAACACTGTTTAACATTAAATGAACTGAGGAATTGCAAACTTAAAAAAATATATTTGACTTTCATTTTAGCTGAGGGATGTGAATAAAAGAATAATTAAAATTGAACAAATTAAATGAGTTAGATTGAAAAATCTAGAAAACAAACAATGTTAACAGTTTTTGTAAATACTGTAATCAGGGCTAAGAATTAAGTAAAAAAAATCTAATAGTTGATATAAACTAAATCTTACAATAAACAAGCAATGCATCTTTGAACAGTATTGATTAAATGTTGCATTGTAATAAAGGGTTTCTCAAGTATTGGTTTTCCTTAGATAACAATTGAACATCAAAGAAAACATGAAAAGGAATCTTTTATTATAGTTCTGTTTGTCAAGACTTCTTGTTAAATGATCTTTTCGCCTGAAGAACATTCTAGTATACTCAACAATCTTCTAACATTTCTTGTAAATGTCAATTCCACTTTGGTACAATTTTTGTATTATTGTTGCGGGCTTAACGGGTTCTTTACAATAAAAACTTGGCGATTTTATATTAACTATTTATTTACACTAATTAATCTATATTTACAAATATTACAATTACCTAACACCTAACTAACCCTATCTAAACCTAGCTAATGCCTATTATAATTTACAATGTTTCTACTTACAGCTAGCCTTTACAGGATTTATCACTTCTGTTACAATACTGTCACTACACTGTCACTAGAGTCACTACACTGTTACTCTCACTGTCACTACACTGTCACTGCCACTAGCACTGGTCACTCACACCGGCGTGCCGTCGCTTCGATGATTCTCGGAAGACTTAACTCAACTCAACTCCGTGTGCCGGAAGACAGTCCCTTATATAAGTTTGACATAAGACATAAGACATAAGACATAAGACATATTTTATTTACACAATACGTTCTTTATAAAGTACATTTCATACATAAGAACAGGTGTTTCGTCATAGTGATGTATTATATAGTAAAATTAATAGTTAAAATAATTAAAATAAACTCATGTAGGATATCAGAGAATTATCTACATTATAGGGTTCTCCAAAAATTCGTCAAGTGAATAGTAGGCTTTCTCAATTATTTTATCTTTTATTTTATCTTTGAATTGAGTAGCATTTAAATTTGTTTGCCGTGGAACATTCTGGAGGCACCTAGTAGCCCAAACAAAGCTGTTTACAGATCACCGTAGAAGCTTCTGGTGGACGTCAAAGACCCTATTGACGTAGTCCGTTGACATGGGTCTATTGTCTTTCACTGGCACGTACGGAGACACCCGTGTAAACAAACAACCCTTTTGAGACGGCGCCTGGCTATTGTTGCGCGGGGCTCCTGACTTGTAACACTACCCCCTCCTTAAGACTGTTCTGCCCCAGAACAGATTTCTCTCGAAGCTTGAGATCTTCTGGACCAATGTCTCCGGTCCCCCACGGGTTGAATACGCAGACCACAATGTCGATGCCAGTGTCCTCGAAAAGTTCCTGCACCATATTTCTTACAATCTTCCATTCCAATCCGTCATAACCACATCCCAGCCTTGGAATAGCCAGCTTTTTTATTCCAATCCGAAGGAGCTTGTCTCGCAGGTCTTGCAGGCTTTTCTTCAAGGATTCGTAGGACGGCTTCTTGTTAGATGTTTCCTTCGTAACGAGGTAGAACAAATGCTGTCCATTGCGCTTCAGGTGAAGGGTTGTGCCAATGGCGGGGCTCTGACGCTCGAGATCTTCAGTCCCTCCAAACTTTTTCCTGAAGACTGTGGCTATACCTCGCGACGCTCTCAGGTCTTCTGCTACGCAGTGGGCCAAGGCATATTCCACTGGCAAAGTGAAGAGGTCCTTGTATAACAGCCTCGGTCCTTCATTTCCACGTCTCTCAGGCACGATGTCTCTTGGCTCGGTTGAGGGGTTCCGAACTTGTTGTTCCTCTTGTTTGCCGTGATTCCCGTTGTAGGACGCAAGCCTGTTTAAATGGACTAATATGGGTTTGCCGTATGGTTGCCTCTTAATCCGGTAGATGACGTCATTTAGACGGGAAATAACTTCATAAGGTCCTTCCCACGAGTTCTGGAGTTTAGGTGAATATCCACGACGCCTTCGGGGATTATGTAGCCACACGAGATCACCAGGTGTGAACCCTCCTCTCTCGGCCTTTACGTCGTACCTCTCCTTCATCCTGTCACTTGCTCCAGATATGTTGTGACGGACCCTCTCATATATCTCGTCCATCATCTTCCCGTTCTTAGACAAGGGAGCCGCATCCTGCCACGATGGTCTTCTATTATTGTCCATCTTCCATTGCTTGGTGTGTTTAAAGTCTGGGCCCCCCTTCTGGTCCTCTGACAGCTTCTTCCTGTCCCCTTCGTCGTTAATGGCGGTCACACGACGAACCGATGCAATATGGTCTTCCTTGCGCGCCCAACGATTTCCGTTGTCTCCACATTGTCTTCCGGATAGTGCATCCGCCTTCTTATGGCTCGGCCCAGTGCGATGACTTGACTCGAAGTCATACTCCTGCTTCGATCCTGGAGGGATTGAATGAGGTTTACTCCGGGGACGCCCCATCTCTCCACAGTTCCAACAGCGTGCCTGCCGGTGACGATTTTTTAGCGCCTCCAGAACTCTTTTCACCAGCTCCTCGATGTCAAGTGGAGATGTAGTTTCTGTGTCTGCCACACGGACTCGGGCCTGACCTCTCACCGACTGCCGTACAGCCTCGAACTCCAGTGCCTGTGTCAGTGCGTCACTCAAGGTCTTTGGTCTGGCGAGCTTCACTGCCTGTTGAGTCTCAGGTTCACGTAGACCGTCTAGGAATTTATCCACCACCAAACTCTCGTAGACATCATCCGTGACCGATGGATAGGCGTTTCTCACCAGGCGAGCAATGTCGGCTTCAAACTCCTGGAGTGACTCGCTGGGCTTCTGGATCCGGTTCCGCAGCTGTGACCGGTAGAGCTGGTCCATATGTCGATTTCCAAACCGCATGTCCAATCTTCTCACTAATTCTGCGAAATTCTTCCTCTCCGCCATTGGCATAGCATGCAGAACAGCTAACGCATCGCCCCGTAGTGCAAGGCACAGTGCTGAAGCCTTTGTCTCCTCGGTCCACCCATGAACCATAGCCGCTGTCTCGAAGAGAAGCATGTAGTCCTCCCAGGGAGTTTTACCATCGAAGTGAGGAACGATGTTCTGAGGGGCAACGGCAGCAATGGTGGGCGCTGGCTTGGAGATCGTTTCTAGGGCGTTATCCTGCTGAAGTTCGCCAGTGCTAGCCGATGACGCAGGTGTGAAGCTCCCCGATGCAGCCATTTCCTGCCTAAGCTTAACTAACCTATCTTCTAGATTCTTTTCTATACAATTAAATTTTTCATCCATTTCATTGATCCTACTTTCTAAATCATCAACTTTGCTAGAATACTCATCTAACTTGTTCAGCATTTTTGATTCTACATTCGACATTTTTGACTCAATGCTAGCTTCTAAGTTTTTGTTATTTTCTGACATTTTTGACTCTAATGCTTTACTGTTTTCTAATATTTTTGACTCAATATTTGCTTCTAGGTTTGACATTTTTGAATCTAATGCTTTGCTATTTTCTGACATTGACTCTAATGTTTTGCTATTTTCTGACATTTTTGACTCTAACGCTTTGCTGTTTTCTAACATTTTTGACTCAATATTTGCTTCTAGGTTTTTAAGCATTTTATTAAAATCAGATGTTTCAAATAAAACGTTATCTGGGTCTTCACCTGCATCAATTAAAGCTCGTTTAAGGCGTGCCTGAAGGGCTGATTTAGTTCCACTAGTATCAAGATCTCGTTCTTCTAATTCTCTCCTAAGATCAGCTACTTTTAACTCATCAAGTTTCACACCTTTGAAAGCCATTTTTATGCCAAACAATTAAAATAATTTTACAATAAATAATTTCTATTTTTGACAACGCAATTTTAACAAAAGCAATTAATTAACTATTGATTTTCTAACAAATTTGTGATACAAATTCCTAATGTTTAATACAACTAAAATGTAACTCAATACTTTACAATTAAAATCGCCAAAATAATGCCGCTTCCTGACACCAATTGTTGCGGGCTTAACGGGTTCTTTACAATAAAAACTTGGCGATTTTATATTAACTATTTATTTACACTAATTAATCTATATTTACAAATATTACAATTACCTAACACCTAACTAACCCTATCTAAACCTAGCTAATGCCTATTATAATTTACAATGTTTCTACTTACAGCTAGCCTTTACAGGATTTATCACTTCTGTTACAATACTGTCACTACACTGTCACTAGAGTCACTACACTGTTACTCTCACTGTCACTACACTGTCACTGCCACTAGCACTGGTCACTCACACCGGCGTGCCGTCGCTTCGATGATTCTCGGAAGACTTAACTCAACTCAACTCCGTGTGCCGGAAGACAGTCCCTTATATAAGTTTGCCGTGGAACATTCTGGAGGCACCTAGTAGCCCAAACAAAGCTGTTTACAGATCACCGTAGAAGCTTCTGGTGGACGTCAAAGACCCTATTGACGTAGTCCGTTGACATGGGTCTATTGTCTTTCACTGGCACGTACGGAGACACCCGTGTAAACAAACAACCCTTTTGAGACGGCGCCTGGCTATTGTTGCGCGGGGCTCCTGACTTGTAACACTATTACATATTTGTTGACAACACGAGGAAGTTATGCAGTTTAAACAATCTTGTTCAATTTAATCTAACTTTTAAAATTATTTGTAATAAAGCTTGTTTAATCTGAGTTTGTTTAAAATAATTTATCCTGTCTGACAAAGCAGGCTTCCTTGCACTGATTGTAGCACGCAACATAGCTAATTGCTGCATTTACTTACTTTTATCACACTCATTTTACTTTACCGCACTCCAGTTTTCCAACCAAACAAAACAAAACCAGTTTGCTTTTATGAGGCGCGTAATATGTGTACGCTTGGAAATACACTATAAACTTTAGGTCCCTTAATTGTCATTGTCTATATAGGCTATTAATTAACAGTCCTGTCTAAGGATCATGTCAGCCTTAGTAACAAGACTACAAAATCGCGCCACTCGTCCTACACTCATCTCCTTACTTGGCTTAAAATACCTACATTGTATGGTCGCCATTTCAATTAAAAGTCTGTTACATATGTCTAATGTTTAAAGCTTACCCAGGACTATGAGGTCCTCCTGGACTGAACCCCCCTCCACCCAGTATGCTGGTGTCTGGCTTCATATCTAGAGGTGACTGAGGTCCTACTGAAGTCAAGGAGATGTTGCTGTCCAAACTGAGACCTGTAACAGACAACAAACACAATCAGTACATCACATAACCACAGTAATACTACCACGTACCTAGAAATATCAACATCACATTTAGTTGAGGAAGCTAATAGACTAGTGAAAGTAAGAAAAGTAGAGTAATATTAGCCTTTTTAACATAATAGATACCCCCTACGTGTAACCTACGACGTTAGAACTTTTCAGGTGTAATAACTCCACTGATATTATTTATGAGCAGTGTAGAAGGTGTACGCAGAGGCCACTGTGGTGAAAACACAGTAAAGTTCTAAGTATGAATATTATTGTATGCCGATTGCCGAAATTGTTTGTACTGGCGTGCCGGCAATAATTCATGGTATAGTCAATTAGATGTTACGAAAGAGAGTGAGATTATTTTGTAAGTTTTAACACATTAAAACTACGTGAAAGTGATTTACCCGAAATAATAACCAAGGGTTAGTACTTCACTATATTTCAAATACATTTCCAAAATGAAACCTTACCGAAAAAGATTCATAGCTATGTAACGATGTTGCCATTGCTAGTCTTAATAATTTAAGTTTCTCTAGATATCTGAAATAGTACAGTTTGACGACCACTGTAAATACAGAACAAATACTGAAAAAGGCTAAAATTAATAGCGAAACAACTACAATACTGTATTGTACTTTCTAATAGATTAATCATTGTTTTGGTTCATCTAAGTTAATTTTAATCAACATCTATTTACATCATGTAACATTTGAAAGCTTCATCATGTTTGTCTTGTTATTTACAAGTTTCTTTAGTAATGTTTTATTATGATGTATAGAGTGATCAATTCTTTTGTAAACTACTTGTCCTCCATTCATAATCTAAGAGCAAAGCGCACACACACATTAAAATTAACCCAAAAATAAGAACCATTTTGTTAACATTAACTGTGTGTTAATGCATTGCTGAAATTGACCCACACAAGTCTTTTGATTTTACAAGTTGAGAATAATATTCACTGCATTCATAGTCAATATGATTTATCAAGAACCACTAAACAATCCATCACTGACTACCAACTACACATTACAAGAAAGATTGAATGCTTACAAAATCCAGCACAGTCCCGTATAATGTGCGGCCTATAAGATTTATTTGTCCTAACCCAAACCATGGCTGCAGAGGTGACACGGGACTGAATAAGTGAGTGTTTTAATGTATGAATAAGTACAGTGGGACAGAGAATGATGAACGAGCAACCAGCTGGCCTAGTTAGGCTGTCACGTGCCTTCAATGCTGACTGGGCAATGGGAAAATCTGCGACGATAATCAAAACCTAGCGCACTGTCAGCTTCAATTTGGGTCTAGAATTTGTTTAGAATGAGATATACTATCACTAAGTATCAGGCTGTTCCCTTAGAAAAAAATGGAAAAACACCAACACTATGAAAACACCAAAATGTATAACTTATACTACGATTTTAAATTTTACAGACACATAACATTATTAAATCACCATACCATGACTTTAAGACCGAGTTGTAGTATTATGTTTTAGAAACAATTTTTCAAAACCTATACATATCATTGTTATCACTAACTGTTGCACATATCATTAATACAATACCATATGGTGTACACATTAAACAAAAAACAAATACCCAGCCACAGCAAACCTGCCGACTAAGCGAATTTCCATTTGTCTGAATTAAATTTCAATTTTATCTATTTAAATAACATTAGGTATAATGAGCACCTAGGTTTGTCCACAGGGAAACTAATAAAGTGTACTTTTTAGTAAAATATTAATAGAGAAATTGGGATTTTTTTTGTTTTGAGGGTCAAAAATGAGAAAAACTATTTTTTACCCCATAAAACCCCCTTCCCATAGTCCGATCATGCTGGTTCGCGAACTCATTCAAGTTTATCCCGCCTTGCACATTTAAACCAAATGTCATTAAATTCGGACAAAAATTACTCAAGTTATAGCGTTCATGGACGTATATATAAAAATTTGAACAAATTGGGTTTTTGGCATCAAAATGGAAAAGTAAATCGGTCCTGGACCTATGTCTTACCATGCCACCTACGGTAATAGCTACTTCCCTATAGGGAAATTCGCTAACAATTCACTAAGTCAGTAACTCATTCTGTGTACACAATCTTAGTATGCATATACGGAATGTATAAAAGAGTGGATGATGTATATACTGGCTAAGATCAGCTGTAGTCAGGATCATTATGGAAAACTTGCTAAAGACACCTGTGTCTAGTTTCACTCCATTCAAAAAGCTTCTGAATTTTCTCTAAAATCAAATTAACAACTTTTAAGTGCTTCGCACAACCACTCGGCTGAATAGACTAAGTTTGTGTGGACAACATTGAGATGAAAGGTGTTACTAGTAAAATGTTTAGGTAATCAAGAGTTTCGCAACTCCAGTAGGAATGATGGGCACTACGCCAACATGATGGCTCAATGAGCCAACTCCTCTCTGGGCAGTTGAACACAACCTTGGCAGATACAACATGGCCGCCCTGTCCACCGTCTACTATATACACTGTATACTATACAAAATGTATTTACAAATAGAAAAACATATCAAGTTAACTGAGGAAATAAAGATGGTATTAATTTATGAGTTTCAGTTTAAAGAAAACCTTCTTTCAAGTAAACAAAAGATATCAATATAAACTGAATAATTTTCGAAGTAGTTAGTTTGTGTGGACATTGACAAGTTAGATTTTTTTATTAAAAGAAAACCGTGACTGTCTAATCTACTGATAGAATAATCCGATCTTTATTACTGAACATTAGGGTACTTGAACTTCAACCTGTTTTGTGCTATGATCCCTTCATCAACACAATATTTGCCACCTTTTCATAGACAATAGATTATTAGCCATAACCATAACATTTCTGATAACCAGAACTTTTTAAACTGTAAACAAAGGTAGTTGGCAAGTTGGTCATTTTAACTTCAATATTAACAGGCTATAGCAAGCTGTGTAATTCCACAATCTAAAAACACATATTTAACACTCCCCTTAAAATAATTTCTTTATTTCAAATGTTTTAATAACCAAACAGGATAGTTGTGAAATTTGCATCATATTTGGGTCGACTCCATCATTATTTGTGAGCGCAATACAAGAATGTTTCTGGAAAAGCACCTTAAATTTTTAAGAGTGGAATACGTATTATAGTATAACATTGATTTGTAACATTTACAATATAAAAAACTACTGTACGTACTGTATCCATAGTACATTATAACAAATAAACAAAGTTACGAGTTATGTAGAGTAATAATTATGTAAAATATTTGTTTAAAGGCAATCCAATGTAAGTATGTATGGCAACTAGTTTCAGCTACTGAGCAATCTTTAGTCTGTTCAAGGACATAATCAATCAACTGGGCTGGTACAGTATTTTGGAGCTGGAAGTAGCTGTCTATTATACCAAACACTAATTGTTTGGAGACGTTGGTCAATACATCAAATGTTGTACGAGGTTATGTCAGTATAATCTGTTTCTTATCAGCCACTAACTAGGCTACTATCTACTATCTAGAACTATGTTGTTTATGTGTGTTATCAGTCATTATTGTGGCAGGTTCAGTGTATAAACCACAAGCAACTGTTTACATTTCTTTCTGAACTACTTAACTCAGTAAAAAACAAACACATAGAAAATAATTAACTAAATATTTGTTTTAAGATGTACTTCAAAAATAAAATGTTTCTTCGCCTAAAAAATCTTGTTCCTAATCAAGTTTTACCATCAATTAATTATGGTGATTGTTTTATACTTTAAGTGGGTTTGAAACTAGGCCTACCCAGGTAAAAATTGTATTATTATCACTACATAATTTCTACTTTTACTCCATTCACATTTTAACAGGAATATAATAATATAATCAGATTCAGTGTAGTAGAATTGCCTGTTCATAATTGATACTGTTTACCGGGAAAGACAAAATAATACTGTAGAATCAATTAGGTAGTTAAGAAATGTGATCATGCAAAAAACGTAAATCAGAAATTTGAAATACAGACTGCTCACAGATCTCAAAACTATCCACTTCTTCCCAAGTACAAGTTAAAATTCAACATTTCTTTTTTGGCTTAACAAACTACATCATTTTATGAGCATATTTGCAACTGCCAAAAACAAATGTAAAACGTTCTAGATAGGTCTAGCCCTAAAAAAACATCCAATTAAAACCATCTGTATACAAAATTTTTATTCCATCAACTATGCTCATCAACGCTTGAATCTTTAACCAATATGTGACTTTACGTTTGTTAGTGTTCATGTGACTATAAAGGGACCAAGAGACGCTACAGACAGTTGTAGTGTTAGTGTTGGTGGAAGGGTCAAGAGCGTAAGTCCGTCTTGTTTTTGTCTGTCTCAGTATTTACAGCGTCTGTGGCCTTGACAGTGGAGCATTGCTTCGCTGAATCTGCCTTCTTCACCACTTCACGTTTAGTTTGGTTAAACACATCTGATGTTCTACTATTTGACACTTATTGAACCTGGTTCGAAATTTTCCCTTTAGGATATGTTAATGATAATCGATTATCAATTGAGATGGGGACGCCACCTATTAGGTGCGTATTTTAACCCAAATATGAGTGAAGGATGAGCGTAGAATTTTGTGAGATGATCTTTGTAGCTTTGCTACTGACTAAGATCAGTTGTTTCTAGCCAGGACCATTGATTTGAAGTCCAATGATCAGAAACAGCTGGGTCCAGTTTCGAACCATCAAAAAGCTACTGACCTTTCAATCGTAATGTTACAGAAGACGTGATTTGGTTACATAAGCTTGAGGACAATACATTTTTTGCGTAGCATTGTAGAGTTTTTATTAATAAGCAATACGAAACCTATTTATTTATCACAGTTACAGGTTATAGTTTTAAGAAAAGGAAACTATTGAGAAGCTATATAATAGTTCTTGGGTAGGGAGGAAGGGGGTTCAAATCTTTATTGAAAAGTATTAAAGTATTTACAATTTATGTTAAACAAACTAAAAAA